GAGAGTTTAGTTCGAATTAAACGCACTGCAAATTAAAATATGTGTACAGATACTGTGACATTATGTCAAATGGATCTGCTTCTGCAGAAGGTGATGTGATTTGCAAATGACGTCACTATAGCCATGAAATAATAGTAAATAACAGTGATTTCTATTCACTGATACTGTGTTGTCTTTGAACATTTTTCCAGAGGGTAAATGCCACATACCATATAGTGAAAATTGAATAAATATGCACAATATTAACTCCTTTACACACAATATTTTTCTCAATGTCCAAAAAAAAAATTTTGCACCTGTACAGAGAGGGTCCTTAAACTGATGAACTGTGACTGGGAATTTCAAATCGGGCTAAATTGTTAGCAAATATAAACATGATAAAAGGGTGAAAAAAACATGGAGCAAAAATAACCCTGTGTACAGTATTAAAATATGCATACCTTCTTTGTGACAATGTATGAGATAATTCCACCATTGTTTGTGATGGTTTTCCTGACTTCCTGTTTCTTCTTGAAACCAACACTGGTGCTGAGGTCAAGGACAACCTGACAACCAGCAAACGCGCCCTTTGTTGTCATGGCTATTTGTGTAAACACGCCTACCTCAACTGTAATAAAGACAAAATTTAGAGGTCATATTTTTAGTGTTTCAAGTTCTTGAAGTTTCAATTTATTTTGTATTGAATGAATTTTTTTTATCGATCATTCAACAGTATACTGTAAACTACAGTGAACATGGTGAAAATGGTCTTATCTGACACTTGAACAATCTGTTTGCAAATGCATGCAACCTCTATTTTTAGTCTCATTTGTTTGTTTTCACGTAATTTCCATTTGTAATAGTCAGTTAAACAATTAGTTACGAGTTGTAAATAGTGATGCTATGCTCCTATTTGTACTAATGCTAGATATAGTAGGTTATTATTTAATAAGTTAACTTTGCTTTTAGCTCAGTCAGTCCTATGTTTATGCATTTTTAGCCACATTGGGGACACCCCCTACCTAATAGGTCATACAATGTATAATCTAACACCCTATCTATTTGGTCACAAATTAAATCTGTGATCCAGTAAGATAGGTTTGATCGCTGTTGGTCAGATACCTAGGTTGGTAGCACACATAACTGGAGATTTAGGGGGGACCCTGGTTTACTCTACTCCCTATATATATTTGGTGCTACGACCAGGATGTGATTGATGAACATGCACTAAGTAATGTGAGAGGAGAAAAGGCTGCAGATCAAACCAGTATTTAAAAAAGGGCCCTCCTGAATCTCCATTCAGGTGCTCTACACCAACTTAGACATCTGGCTACTGGCAATCAAACTTGTCATACCACCATATCCCCTCCCCCGCCTCCTCCTTAAAGGTCTACGGCACTAGGGGACACCAAGCCAGGCTCTTTCCCTGCAGGCCTCTTATCAGACAGGTTTCACGGCAGGTTTCATATGCATTGTTACTATTAAGCATGTTTGTTAAATGTAACAGATCTCTGGTGTCTCTAAATATTGTACATAGTTATCTGTCCAGTGGTGATCGAACCCATCTACTGTGAGCCCAGAATTACAAAAAGTACAGGATTTTAAAAGAAGTAAAATAGTGTGTCTAAAAGTAAAAAAAAAGTTTTTCAAAGATGGTTTTTAATTGACTTCAAATGACTTACAAAAGTGAAAATTAAGCATTTACCTTTCAAATTTTTGCATTAGGATAGCGCAAAATAGTCCTAATGTTAAGTTCCTAGTCCATTTATCCAAATTGGCAGGGGTATTCCCCTATCTCATACAAACTGACGAACTGCGTGGTTTTTCAAAGCACAATGCTATTGCGTAACAATATACCCAGGCGAATGATAAGAATGACTTAAATATGCGAAAAAGGAAGTAAAGCGCACCGCTTTTTCAGTTTTTGAATGTAAGGATTAAGTTTCCATGACCGTGTTGTGTTTTACTAAAAGTTGAACAGCAGAACAGGAGTTTTGCAAATTAAGTAACATGAGTAAAAAAAAAGCATGTCAGCAGAAATAAACTTTTGCAAAATCATGAAAAACTGCAATACTTACGTAGATTGGAACACAGGTCGTGTGACAAGTCGTCGTTTGCATGTATTATATTTTGTATTTAGTCAATGTTTCTTTACGGACATTTCCTCATTCTTGTTTAGTATTAAAAAGTACGAGGATTTCCGATTAGGCGATCTAGTATTCGGAACTTCTTTTGAACTTTCATGTTATTCTGAATTTGTACCTAGACGTTTTGGGTCCCATCCTCATACGTGCCAACTTTCCGATTTAGGCGGGATCCTCCCGATTTTACCCTTTCATCCCGCTTTCCCGATCGACTCGTGAAAGAAAAATTGCCCTAATTTCCCGATTTGAAAAAAATTACAAAAATTTCGGATTATAAAAGATTCCCTACCACTGAATTTTGACAATTGGGATAACAATATCAAACTTGTTTATTCAATGCACTCAGATTCTACCTATTCCCACTTTTTGAAAATCAGGTAGAAAAAAGGTAAAATTTCATGTGGGAGTAGGTGGAATTTTTGTGTAAACAAATAATTAGCGGAATAAACATGTCATGACTTTGAAAATATTAATTATTAAACCACTGTTGGAATAAAGGACAGGTAAATTTGCTACTTTACATTAAAAAATCTGACTTTTTACTTCTATTACAATGAGAAATTAGACTTCTTCAAATAAAAATAGCCGATAAATTATTTTCATTTATCATTCCTGATCTTATAACTGAGCAAATATTCAATCACCAATGAATTTTACGTAAGAATTTAATTGATCTTTAAATTGAAATCTGGATTTAAATAACTATTTTAAAAAAATTAAAGAAAATTTCATAATAAATTTACACATACATAAGTATATATTTCAATGAATTTAAGTATATTTTTATACTTCACGCTTGAACGCACGCAGTTGTCCAGGTACAAGTAGCTCATAGCTTGGGGCAATTAGTGGATTATCTTGTCAGTTTTAAGGGGTATGCAAGGTGAAACACATAGATTAACGTGTTAATTGTTAGTCATTAATTGTATTGAAAACATATAAATTAAAGACAATAAAATACTAATCAAACTATAAAATCGGAATCCAAAGAGATCGTTTTTTGAAAACGAAAGTAGAAAACTACAATGCATAGCTGCTGATTTCATCTACTTATAATAAAAAATATTGTAAAGTTTGCCAGTTAAAATATTATGAAATCAAGATGAAACAATGTCAATTAGAATTTCTTTTCAACTCCTTCTCCCAAAAGTAATATTTTATAGGTATGTGCATGACTTAAGGAAATACCCACATGGCACCATCAAGCCTGACAAATTTCATGACTGTAAAAAAATAATTCTCCTTTGGATAGATCGTGGTATAAATTTCAGTAAATTTAATACCTTATTAGAATTTCTACTTAACTGAAATATAAGTAAAAAATCTCAAAAATGATTCCAGAAACAAGACTTTATAGTTTCAAAACCTCATATATTTTTTAGCCTTTGAAAAAAAATGATTTAAAAGTTGTACAATTTTCAAATTTTCACTAAATTATGTGTCCTGGTAGAAAAAAACAACATGTTTTTAATGAGAGAGGCACTTATTTTAGCAAAAATATTTCAATTTTGGAAAAAAAAGAACATAATTTTTTTTTTTTAAATTGTTTAAATTAATTTTGTGAGTTAAATTAATCCTTATTAAAATTGTATTAATAAGTGATATCAAATATTATAAATTTAAAAAAAGATAATTTCATTATCATTCAATTTCACGACAAAATGTCGCGAATTTAGAGATTTGAAAATTGTCGTCACGCGCTAAATCCCCCGTGGGAATTTTCAAAAGTTGGCATGTATGCATCCTTTTCCCCTTCTAGATCAAACATGTAATTGGAAAACCACAAGTGTTGTGTGTAAAAAGAATCTGAATATGCTTTTGTCATCTTTTCAGATTTGATCTTAATTTATTTCTATGGCAAAAATATAAAAAAATACAGATGTTGACTAATGTTTGTTTTTTTCCCACTTAGTCCTGGTAGTCCTATGTACAATGTATTTTGCAACGCAGCTAACAGAAAAATATAAGTAATGTACGTCAGCATCACCTGATGAATTTACACCTGTAGAAGATGTTCAGTATACTATGGGTTACAAAATACTAGTATTACAGATTCAAGTGCCCGTGGATCACAGGTACTTAACACCCCCTAACACTACCTATACGTAGCAAGTCTGGTAGTGTCCATTCTTAGATACATTATCCATGCAAGTTAGGTACCAGGTAGGGCTTATTGTTACTTGGAAATGGACCTGCTCCTAAAACCATAACCTGGTCACTCATCTGGTAAATGTAGCTCAGATCCAGCATCAAAAGTAAGTCTGGTAGTGTGCATCCCCAGATGCACCATCCCTGCAAGTTTGGTCCAGGTAGAGCTTTTACTTACTTGAGAATGTGACATGACCTAAACCTTGGTCGAGGTGAGCTACATGTAAAAAGCAAGCAGTCTGTGTACGAAATCTATATATGCAATATCAAAATTAGCAAATTGTTGGACAATGAAGTATCACGTCAATAACTATTTGTTGGCAAAAAAGTTTAACCTCGTCCATAACCTTTGATTTCCTTTAACTTTGGTTTTAATTTTTCACACGTTTTCCTTTTGATAAGACCTTTCTTGGGTACCACCAAATTTGATCTCTTGACCTTTGAATTAAACCACCTTTACAAACTTAACCGTTTATCTCCAATAATATTCTCATAAATTTCACATTTACTGCATGTTAGATAGAAGGTTAGAAATGTTATGAAAATCCATATATCGGGGAAAATATTGTAAAAAGTATCACTGTTCCTTGTTTGATTCTGCCTTTTGGATCTCTTTCAATGTTTCCGATATCCTGATATGGATACCAATTCCCAAATTCTACCTTAAAATCAATGCAGACGACCAAATAAACGTTAATCTAGACTGCAATATGTTTAATGCATGTCTTTAAATGCAAGAAAACAAACACCTTTTGTATTACTTTAAATCCACTGGGGCATGTGAAGGATAAAAGCTTTTGTGTTTCAAACTGCAATTTCAAACCGAACTGCGTAAAAACATGGCGTAGATGTAAGTTTTTACTTCAGAAATAACGATATTGAAACCTTGAATATATCAATTTGGTTTGCATATTTAATATCATCAGAAAAGATTTTTAAAGACTTTTATAACATTATTTTATTATACAGGAAACAAATTTTTGATCTGAGAAAAAAAAATTAGGAGTCGGAAAGCCACGTGCACACAAAAATAAATATTTGTCGACAAAACCCCAGTAGAAATCAAAAGAACAAGGGTCTAAAGATAAATTATTTCAAATATGGAGAAGGAAGGCAATATCGATGAACTTGGGAAATCATTTTCTAGAAGTTCTGTGGCTAATAATGATAGCTCCGCTTCGACAAAAACAGACGTTGAGTGTGGGAGCTTTTCCTCAGAAAAGTATTTAAACTAACACTTGATACTTCTGCATTTCAAATCTGCTCTTATAACATGTTTGTATCTGCGTTATCAATCGTCAACATATTCCTTTGGATTCTATCGTTGATTCATTTTTCTTCCAGGTTCACAGTCATTGATGCAAAAGATGAATATGACGACAATCTACAATGATCTAAAAAGTTTAAACAAGAGGCCCTGGGGCCACAGCGCTCACCTGAGCACATCGGTTAGGAAAAAGCACATATCAGATTAGAACTGATACGGGGGAGGGGCTTGAATTTTAACCACCCAGAGGATCATGCTTTAAACAAACAAAGAAGATTTTAAAGGGTTTCCCTATAAATTCCTAGGTAAAACTTTGATCGGCCATTTTGGCCCCACCCTAGCCCCGGGGGTCATGATTTGTACAAACTTGAATCTTCACTATCTGAGGATGATTCCACATGAGTTTCATCTTTGCTGGGCCAGTGGTTCTCTAGAAGATTTTTAAAGATTTTTCCTATATATTCCTATGTAAAAATTTGATCGGGCATTTTGGCCCCACCCTAGCCCCGGGGGTCATGATTGGAACAAACTTGAATCTTCACTATCTGAGGATGATTCCACATGAGTTTCATCTTTCCTGGCCCAGTGGTTCTTTAGAAGATTTTTTTTTTTAATGCCCTTAATTTTTCTCTAATTCATAATTACTGGTATCTCCCCTTGGAAAAGGGCGTGGGCCTTCATTTGAACAAACATGAATCCCCTTTATCCAAGGATACTTTGAAGCAAGTGTAGTTGAAATTGGCCAAGTGGTTCTTTAGAAGAAGATGAAAATGTGAAAAGTTTACAACGACGACAACGACAGACAGCGGACAAATTTTTATCAGAAAAGCTTACTTGAGCTTTTGGCTCAGGTGAGCTAAAAGTGTATTTTCAAATAACTAATTTCAATAAAGTGTTAAATATCTTTAGGATTCTTTTTTTATTTTTTAATATTAATGTTAATATTTTCCGTGTGAGTAAGGTTACCAATTTGCCTATTAAGGATAGATGAGACGTTCCTTAATTTTTCCAAGATTTTGTCATTGAAGAATACTAGTAAATACTACTCACAAAAATTCGAAGTACCTTACCACGCCTTCTTGCGATATACCAGAGGATGACATTTCTTATATACACATGTAATCCTTTAGGAAAAAACTTAGTTTGCCTAAATCAAATTTTTAGTGTTTCAAATTTTTAAAAACAATTAGAAACCGGTTTTGAAATTGACAAAAAAAAAATAATAATTGAAATGTTGACAATGTATATTTTTCCATAATTTATGAAGATATACTAAACAGATATTTGGGGAACGTATCGTCTGACTAAGTTTATCACAATTCAATATCTGCATTCATATTTCTTTTTACATAGCATATGGCGGTTAGTAGTGGTGATTTAACTGTGGATGGCGACACATCTTTTCAAAAGATAAAACTTGACGAAGAAAACATTGAAAAAGAGTTAGGCAAGGTATTTAAAGGTCCTAAAAATTCAAAAGAAATAGGCAACACTGTATCTGAATTACACAAGTGTGTAGAAGAAAAAAGTACAGGAAGATATCTTTTCCAAACTCGCGAAGGTATGCCAATGCTCCAAGAAAATCGCAGAGAATGTTCCGGTAGCCGAATCGGTGGCTAAAACCCTTGGAACAATAAAAGTTGTCGGAGATAACACTGGATAAGATGAGAGTGAATGCCCAAAAAATCCAAGAAGATGAAACATATGCACCCTTCGAGCGATTTCAAGATTCCGAGATTACGTCAGAAGCATGTGGACTTGAAGATTTGTTTTACACGACACACGCGTACTTAAAGGGAATTCATAAAGAGGCAAATGACGATGAAATAAAGACTCTTTGAACAGGATCGAGTTCCGATTTATAAAGGAGTAGAATTTCTGGGAAAACTGAAGGCGAAGATAGAAAATCTTCTGACAAAACTAGACATAAATTCTGTTAGTCGTGCTGTCGCATATATATAGATCTCTACGCATGCCTGACAATTTTGAGAACATTAGTTCTATGGCAACTTTATGCAATAAAGAAAAGTAGTAATGTTTACCAAGCTAGCACTAGTGGTGTTAACTCCGTTATCAAGGAAACCGACAAGACAGATTGCGAAATGGTGGAGAACGTTACGAAACCCAGTGTCGAGAAAATTGTCTTCTTGACCATCTTCAACCCAACAGAACTTAGACATTTTCAGCATTTCATGCGTGTGAAATCCATAAGCCCTTTTCGGTTAGATGAGGATGATACCTTTTGCTCTAAAATGCATCTTATTCGCCGAGCAAAATGGCCTGAATGGCATATGAAGTTTGTATGGGATAGACAAGGATCAATTTGGACAGAGACACAGAAAATGATAGCGACCTCGCAGGCTCGGTCGCTATCACTTTCTGTGTCTTCGGTCAATATCCATTGTCATGAGTCCTTATAACCACATATCGACCTACACTAAAGTCCATAATTGTATAATATTTAATTAATGTATACTGAGGACTTTGTATGGGAGACAGACCTTCATACAGCCAATATCAATAATTATAAAATGATACTTTTAACCTTCCTGATAAAATCTTAACCCTTTTCCCAATAGATATACCAGAATTTGGTGCTCTCTGGTGATTATTGAAAAATATAAAGCAATTTTAGTTTGATAAATCTTGCTTCATGGAGCATGCTACATTTTGGCATGTTTACAATTCACAAACTTAAGACTCTTTATTAAAATTAAAAATTGCACAATTGTAGCGTAAAGAGAATGATGATATTTTACCTGTCGCTATTTAAGTATGCAGGAAAAGTCACTGGGAGAAATTTTGAACTAAAATGGGGGGGGGGGGGGGGGGTATATGACTGGTTTATAGCCGTTTATAAATGATCAACGCGTAAAAACTAAGCCAAAAATCGGAACGTCATTGAGCGTCATGGAGCACTGAACTACGTAAAAATTATGTGTGCAGACAGGAAAATGTCTAAAAAGATATTAAAATGTTCAAAATGCTGCAGGGAATTTCCTACACATACAAAGAACAAGTTTCCAAATGGTTGTAGCTTCATAAAAATGGAAGGAGTAACAGTTTGAATGATTAACTCCATCGATACATCAATACCCCATTATCGCATGGACGATGCGTTAAGCCTACATGGTTTTGCATAGTTTCCATACCTGATCGATTAACTGCATAGCCTTTTTTATTTTTTAAGATCTCAATAATATATCTAAATCAGTACAAAAAACATTATAGTAGAAAAGTAACATGTCTTGATATAGATAATCATATTCAACTTTAAAGTAAAAAAAGATAAGAAAAGTTTGAAGAAAAGATTTATAGAACTGCGACAAAAGTTAATGGATTGAAATCTGGTTGTCACGTCGCCTTACGTCAAGTAATTGCTCCGTGAATCCCATGATCCCATAGTAAAAATAGTTGTAAAATTTCAAGATTTTATTATATGGACCTGATTTTTTACATGCCAATAAACAAAATGTATGAATTCATTCACATAGGTCATACTTCATAGTACACAATAGATTTTCTGTAATTTAATATGCCCACGAACTTTTCTAACAACCCTCGTATGTACAATCTATCAAAAAGTCGAATATTAACTGACGGTTTTAAACAAATTGTTAAGTCACAGTTAAAATAAATCGTCCACAGATCCTTTGACCTTGACATCTATTTTCATAAAAAAAAGTGTTGAGCTCTGTTTTAAAAAAAATCATACAAGACATTTATATCAAGCCTATCATTACAATACGTATAAGCACTTTGTAAGATTGGTATTCAATTGCATCAAAAACTCTACTCCTTGAATTTTTCTTTCTTTAATTTGTATTTTGCATAGTTTTAAAGAAATGAGATACTTATACGTAAGCATTCACTTTTACATAATTTTGCGAGGAATTATCGTAAAAAACATTTCAAAATTTACACACTAAATGCTACTACCGCTTAATGTTTTAAAATTAAACTCAAGCGGAGTAATAGGATTTTGACGTAACTCATTGTCAGTGACGTTGGCAAGTTATGTTATACAATATAAAATAACATTTTGAATTGAATCAAATGGCGTTTTACTTCAATTGCATTATTCTAAAATAACTACTTAAAAAAGAGAAAAACAGGCAAAGGTATGCACTTCAACAAAAAACATATTCTGATTTTTTATTAAAAAAAAAAAAAAAAAAAAAAATTCTGGGGGCAGCTTCTGTGTCGTTGCTTCATTCTAAGATGTAGGATTATTTCAATGCATACGCCGAATGAAATACACTTAGAAAATATACGGAAGCTCTTTTTCTATATATATAAAAAAAAAGTATAGCTCAACATTTTATTAAACGAAAATAACATGTTAAATAAAGCACATTTTATAAGTGGCATAAGAAAGACCAGACAACCTCTCTACCCTAAAATTGCGCTCTTCACACTCTGGTGCCCAAACACAACATCTATGACCGGTAGATAAGTTTTATTATTAATCATACACATTTTTGTACCTCCATGCTTTAATGATGTTAATTAAATGACAAAGTTACTCTCCGTTCACACAGAGCTGCGATTCTAGGGCAATCATACCGATCAACGATCTGAATAAGATTTGGATCGGGACAGATCGCAGTCGATCGGCGTCTAAATAGAGCAATTTGGCAAATTATTGTGTTTGTAACGACCGTGCTCCGATGTCCCTACGTCAAACGTGTTGCTTTTACTACGATGTTACGCAGACTGTTGCCAACAAGCGGTCGTGTTTACTGCGTTTACGCTGCGCTGCCACTGCGACACTGAAGACCATACTACGACGCTACACAGACCTAGATGCGATGTCGCTACGGTGGTGCCGATCAGATTACAATTGCATTAATCTTCTAGTACGATTTTGGCGATGATGGAAATATATCTTGCAACCGCAGATTATTGTAGTACGATTATAGCAATGCGACCGCAGTTTTTGTAGGCCTTTACCATATTGTTTACGGGCATTTTCAATTGGAACTATAACAAGATGTGAAAAGTCTTAATTGCAAATGATCATCAAGTATAGTGTCACCCTTAAAAATGTAGTTTACAGATGATTGGTCAATATCAACGCTATAAGAACAAACTTCTGCCTGATAGGTCGTGATATGATCGGCGTAAGGTCATTTTTGCGAAAAAAAAACAGAGAGTTACAAATGATTAAAATCTTGAGTTGATTGAATGGTGATGATTTTAAATTTACATCAATTACATCATTGCATGCTGTCCTAATAGACCTTGACACTTGAACTCACTTTTTGTGATTTAAGAGAGGTCTTATGATTAAAGCCTATTTTGAATTTAATTCTAATTTAATTTTTCTAAATATCGCTTTATACGAGGTTTAACCTACAAGTAATGTCACAATTTCAAAAACTCAACATTTTTTCACACTAATCATACTCTCATTTTGATTTTCTACTTAATGCTTCATTCAGTTCTGTGAGTAACTAATTTTTGTGTGGCAATTTCTGTTCATTCATTTACTTATAAAGAATTGCTTTTCACAGATGCAAGAAGAAAAATGTTTTTTTTTCTCAAAAATGTTCTTAGCCGACCGAAAAGTCTAATACAAAGAAAAAAAAACAGCATTCTCAATTGATGGACTGTCACTGTTTGCTTGTGTTCCAGAATTCTGATATTTCTGTGGTATTTATAATATGCTGATCTTTAATTGGATGCAGTGGACAAATAATTTCACCATCTTCTTCACAAATATATATGTCCTGCACAAATTGTCCTTTGATATCCACTGCAATCGTTCGTTCCCCGTCTTCTCGACATTTAAAGCCTCTTTCATATAATAGGCTTCTGTGAAAAGTCCCCGAAATGTCCTTTAAGATATCCTCTATAGTATTTTGAATTTTGCATGTTTGAGCTTTTTTTAAAGAACATCCCGAAACAGGGTGAAATATTTGTAGCTGTATGGATGTCTCCGTGACAGAAAGGACAACATTGTAACTTTTTACAGAAAACAAAGCCGCATTTCTATACAGACAGGATGTTCCATCAGTTTTCAACACTTTCCAGCCCTTTAACTGCATGCAAAACACAACGAGGCGGAAGAAGAGGAAAAATGGCAAGAAGCTGAATCTGTAGATAAGAACAGATGTTTACTCGTCCTCTCTGAATGAGATCAGGAATAGCATTCTCTATTTCTTTCCTGTTCATGCACGGAACATAGTGAGACTTGTTGCCAACTGCCATCAAGCCTAGTCTTTGCATAAAATTAAGTAGTTGTTTCTTATGATAGAGTAGATATCGGGGATCAGAATCCCTTGTCTTAGACAAGATCCATTCATCATCTTCTGGTAATTTTTCAGATAAAGGGTTATCGTCATTTCTCCAAATTTCTGTCAGAAGGTGGTCCTCCAAATTCCCTGTACTGTAGAATTCTTCCCAATCCTCAGAGGCCACAGGAATTCCTTTAAAATGAAGTTTGTCAGTGATTATGTGTTTAAAAGCGTCAATAAACCACTGAACGTCAATGATGATAAATTCCTTAAGTCCCTCTTCATTAAAATAAAGAACCTTTCCTGCGTCATGGTAGTATCGTAGCATATCACTCTTAGTTGTCAATTTCTCTTCTGGATCCTCCTGTTTAATGCTGTCTGTCACCTTCATGGTAAGATTCTCAATTTTTATAATCCTCTCTGAATGTTTTCGTAATTTAATTTCTATTTCGAGGAAGGCCCATTCTTTTGGAATCGTTTCTTTCCATCGCTGATGATTTGCAATGTTAAACATGTGCTTTGACAGACTGTGAAGTGCTTCGGCAGGAAACTGTATACAATAACAGTTATTTTCTACAATGTACTGTGATAACTTCGAATGCTTTGGGATCTGTTGATTCAGACTATCCAAAAGGGTGTGTTTATCCTGTAATTGTAAATAATTTCGTCTATATTGTTTGTTTACCTAACAGATTTTATAAATTTCATTTAGCTGGGAAAAAATTGTAACTTCGCGTTTTGAAGTTCTTAGAAAAAAAATCCGATACAGCCTTTCATAACTAGAGGTTCTGTGAGCATTTAAGAAATAAGATATCATTTTTAGAGTTTCGTTGGGATGTGACATGAAGTCAGTCACGTGATCAAATTCTATGACGCCCGAAGGGGCCTTATATTAGATTATCACGTACCAACTTCATGTCACATCGATCCCACTGAAACTCTAAAAAATGATATTTAGGGTCTTTCGTCTTCAGCGTAATATTTCTCATGCAAATAACTAAAAACGAAAAAGAATCTCTTAATAGGTGTTGAACCAAAATTGGTTAAGATCCTAAGAGCGTTAAAATGAAATCAGGAAAAAAGGGGCTGGGCACTCAAATTAGGGGCCAAGAGGGGCCAAAAGTCTTCAATCGATAACTCTTTAGCAGTCAATATTTTATAATACATTACTGAAGCAAAAATGTTTATCGCAACGATCTACAGCTATATATTATGATTTTTATGTCGTATGGTACATAATTAGGGGCCAAAAGGGGCCAGAATGTTAATTCTTTGACGCTTTATATCTCAAAAGTGAGAAATATTTTGATAAGTAATATTGAACAAAAGATGTTCAAAAGCATGTTCTGAACAATATACAACCTTTCATTTTTCGCTAAACGTCCCCATTAGGGAGTTGAAGGGCTGGCCCCTAAATATTTCTTTTGCAAATAACTCAAAAACGAAAAAGAATCTCTGAATAGTTGTTGAACCAAAATTGTTCAAAATCCTAAGAGCTTTAAGATGAAATCAAACAAAAGGTGCTGGGCGCTTAAATTAGGGGCCAAGAGGGGCCAAAGGTTTTCAATTGATAACTCTTCATGAGTTAATATTTTGTAATACATTACTGAAGCAAAAATGTTTATCTCAATGATCTACAACTATGTATTATAATTTTTATGTCGTATGGTACATAATTAGGGTCCAAAAGGGGCCAGACTGCTTATTCTTTGACGATTTATATCTCAAAAGTGAGAAATATTTTGATAAGTAATATTGAACAAAAGATGTTCAAAATCATGTTCTGAACAGTATACAACCTTTCATTTTTCGCTAAACGTCCCCATTAGGGAGTTGAAGGGTTGGCCCCTAAATATGTCTTATGCAAAAAATTCAAGAACGAAAAAGAATCTCTGAATAGTTGTTGAACAAAAATTGTTCAAAATTCTAAGAGCTTTAAGATGAAATGAAGAAAATTGGACTGGGCGCTAAAATTAGGGGACAAAAGTGTTCAATCGATAACTTCTTATCAGTTTATATCAGTTAATATTTTGTAATACATTACTGAAGCAAGGATGTTTATTCAACCATCTTCAACTATATATTATTTTATGTTGTATGGTACATAATTAAGGGCCACAAGGGGCCAGAATGCTAAGTCTTTTGACGATTTATATCTCGAAAGTGAGGAATATTTTGATAAGTAATGTTGAACAAAAGATGTTCAAAATCATGTTCTGAAAATATGCAACCTTTCTTTTTTTGCCAAACGTCCCCATTAAGGATTTGAAGGGTTGGCCCCTAAATATTATTTTTGCCAATAACTCGAAAACGAAAACACTTGTTGAACAAAAAATTTTTAAAAGCCTGAGATCTTTAAGATGATTTGAAGAAAAAAGGGCTGGCCCCTCATATAAAGGGCCAAGAAGGGCCAGAATTCGAAATCATGACTATTTAACGTTCAATATTTTTATTAAAACATAACGGCAGCAAAATCGTTTTTCTTAACAATATTATCATTGTAAAAAATCTCAATCAAAATCTTATCTCATCTCATCAAGAATCGGACGGAAGACCCACTCGTTGTTCACAACGAGATCTCATCTAGTTTATTTCTTATATTTATATTTTACCTTTATTCGTGTTACAAGGAAAAATACGTAAAAGGGGATATTTGGACATTGTTATAGAAATGCAGCATAAACATAACGTAACTACGGCGTCATATAACGTCAAAGTCAAGACTTTTAATAGTCTCTTGCGGTTTGCCCAACTGCATGTTGAAAATTGAATGTCAAATTCATTCATATTGTCATATAAGGTAAGACATTAGCAAATGTATATATATATATATATATATATATATATATATATATATATATATATATATATATATATATATATATATATATATATATATATATATATATATATATATATATTAAAACAGCTATAAATTATCATTTCAAAACATAATTATTTCATGGTAGAGAATCCTTTATGTTTATGTAATTACGGATGTTTTATTCCACAAATATTACAGCTTACACATATTGTTGAAAGCGGTAGAAATTGAGAATGTATGAATTACTAGTATGCAATATTTCTGGCAAACATCGTGTAACATAAAAATTTAGCGTTGGTTTGATAAAGTAATTGCTTTTCTAACTAAAGATGTTTTATTCCGACAGGGTTATACCTTATGCAATGTTCTATATAGGAACTGAAAATTGTATTATCTTTATTTGAAAGTGGTACTATTTATTCTAACCGAGGATGTATTATTCCACACAGGTTGTACTTTGAACAACCATATTTCGTGATTTTGATGTTTACAAAAAAATTCTACTGATAATATGATGATCATGACATACATGCTTCGAAAACATTTTATTCACTTCTGAATTTATGACTACAATTTATTTTCTTGTTGTACATGTATTACATTTTCTTCATTGTCATTTTGTTTCACATTTTTTTTTGTTTTAATTTATTATTGTCTTTATCCTGTTTAATGATTAATATTGAATGCCATTTTTTAGGGGCGGATGTTATATACATGCGTATAAATGTATATTTATGATAAAGACAATTTGTTAGATGCTTAGATGTATTTATGATTTAGGTATTGTTTAAATATTAAAATTAATATACTGGGTATTTGTAATTGAAAATTAATGGGTTTATTTGATCTTCAGAAAGGGCACTACTGCAAATGTTTGTAATTTCTCAAACATGACATCTCTCTCTTCATCCCAGGGTATCGATGCTATTAGCTCATAATTGTAATCAAGTTTATAGTCAGGTCTTAGACTTGTGTTTTTTTTTTAATTTGTTATTGTTTTCTGTGTTATTAATCAATGTCATTGAGCTTTACCTTAACTTTACTACTGTCTTTAAACTTGTTTCATTGGTTCATGTATTAAATGTGGGAGGAGTTTTCAAAGAGGAGACGTGCGTTAGTTTGTCTGTAATTCACTCTCAAAAATGTAATTTTTAATTTTGTACTTTTGGACTTCAATAAATTCTAAACTTTAACCATGACTTATTATTTTAACAACGGAATTATCATTTCAAAACAATATAACTATTATACTCGTCAAATATCATTCTGTGGTATAAAATGAGTTTCGGGTAAGAAATGGGTATCACAAAGAGTAACTTTCATTAGGACGGACAGACATCCCAATCACTATACAGCTTTATACCCTTTATACCATCCCAATTTCAAGCTGGGGTTATAAAACGACATGACATGAAGTTCAAATATAAACTTTTTTAAATAATAAGATACCACAGGATGGATTTTTCTAGTATATATACACTTAACAAAACTTCTAAGTGTTCACTTTTATAAGTGTATTTATATAAAAACTACTTTATGGAATGGTATGATATTTTCAAATTATTACAACAAATGAGTCCTTTCAACAATTCTAGCAAGAAAAATAAATATCACCGATGAAAACCAATGATCCATGACGAACCTTAAAAACAATCAATCCGTACTTTGTGGCACGTGTTTTGTGTAATAAGTAATTTTTTGTGATCATTGTCAAATTTTAAAAACCGGTTTCACTAAAAAACACAATACATTGGCAAAATGACCATTGAGAAAGAAGGGAGAGCCGTAAGAATGTTGATATCTGGACCATATTTGCACCACGTTTTACTAATTTTTATTTCAGTTTTTTAATTGTCCTTGATATTACTTTTAAAAATTAACAATCCGTATCAAAACCCATTTAAACACATTTTTTGATAGGCTGTGCATCTTTTTCACCGCCAATTTATCACAATTTGAAAGTTTTTGACAAAATTTAACCAAACCGGAAGTGACTTTGTTCTTCGTCTGAGGCCAAAATTTTGAGTCCAACCAGATTTATAGACAGTTAAATTGTCCTGAAACAATCTTAGAAACATGAAAACAAAAGAATTCAATCGTATGAAAATGATATCGTATGAAAAAGAAATCGGTGCTTGTGACAGTCTAATATCAGATCATGTAGTCTGAATCATGCTTAAAGCGGTGTCCTTACGTGATAAACGTCCAACGATATTGACCAAAAGACCTCTGTGTGATGATGCATCTTCAGATCTCCAGATCTGAATCCTATTGAACACATTTTTGACTTTTATAAGAAATTTTATCCCCCCCCCTCTACTTGATTTCAATGGTTTGGAAAAATCTAGGCAGTAAGTGTGGCAGCAGATGGGTCAATCTCATAATCAGGGGTACATTGTATCCAAGAGTAAAGTATGTCTTACAGTTATAGAGCGAATGGTCGTCTTACTTCAAAGAAATATCTTTGTGTGAGTTTTCATTTTGAGGGTACATCATTCACTGACACTTTGCTAAAAATTCTGACGAGAAACTTACATGATATTTACGCAACATCGAACTGAAATAAGCACCATTAAGCATGAATTAGCGAAATTATTAATTGATTGTATTTGTTCTTTAAAACTTAAAAAATGTTAGGTGAACACTTAGAAGTTTGGTTCAGTGTATTTCTTTATGGGAAAACTTTATTTGCCAAAATCAAACTTATTGGTTTTGTGATTACTTTCAGACAATACAAAATCTGTTAATAATCAGAAAATAGTTTAAAAGTTTAAAAATGAGGTCTGTAAAAAGTAAGTGTAAAATATTTAGAATTTTAATTCTGTATTTATATAAATAAAACATTTCGAATTTTTTGCCTACAAATGGGGCAACCCTCACATGTCGAACTTGTTGTTGAAGTGATTTCGCTCGCAACAGAAAAGGAATACTTTTACTTTAATAGAATTTACAAATATTTACGATAATGTTTACTTTATATTGTCGGTTATTTTCTTCCCAATGAGTCGCCACAATTAGAGCGACAGGCTTCAGCTCTTTATCATTCTCATAACTGCAGTAGGTGTGTATTGACTTCATCCAGAACTCAAAGTAGTCTACAATAACATATACACAATAAAGATAAATATATTTCCTTATATTACGCTTACACTTATATTATTTATTAATATCAATTATTATAATGAAGTACACTGTTTAAAAATTTAATTTTTCAGAGTTTGATATTATTGTCTAGAAAAAACTTGGCTCTTGATGCAGTGTCGTACAAGAAAATATTTTAATTGACTTCTTCGTGTATAACGTTTTGCATACATTACACACATGTGGATAATTTTCGTCTAATAAATTAAATAGTCTAAGATCCTTTCAAAGGGTACATATAAGCCAACACTTGCAGTAAGTAATAGTAGTCTTATCTAAAGCTTTTTGTTGGAATGACTTTTTAGATTCTTCCTTTAGATTCAGATTTTTAAATATAAGACATCAAAACACAATCAAAACGGAAAATGCAAGTACCTCCATACGTCCATCCAGAGAACACGCTACCATCTTGATCACACACTTCCTTATCCAACTTCTGGTCAAGACGTTTAGAGGCGTCCACCACCACAACATAGAAAGCTCTCCTGGTCAGGTAAATCTGGTGACAGGCGTAGTATGCACACTGTCCTCCAAAGTCGAAGAACGTCAGAGTCTTTGCGCCAATATTTGTTGCAGAATTGTTTTCTTCTTTATCATCTTTGTTTATTTGTCTTGCTAAAAATGAAACAAGAGGCCCATGGGCCTTATAGGTCACCTGAGCATTATGCAACAACTTTCCAGTGATTGAATTTGATTCATGTTTTAATCCAGATGCTATGGCATTCACAATTTTGAAAGAGGCACCATTGATCATCAAAACAATACGCTTAGCAGTTGCTTAGTTTGTTTACTTAATACCCATAGGCAGGGTAGGGGAACAAAAAATGCATTTCAAGTAATCAGTAACATTCAGCATGATCAGTAATGCCCCAATCACACATGAACCCCTGACCCTTAGGCCTAGATCCACACATTGCACAATTTTTGAAAAGGCACCCTTGCTTTTCAAAAATATTTGATTAATACCAAGGAGCATATTTCGAACAATTCATCCAGTTTCAGTATATAGGTACAGCCCCCCCCCTCCTTTATGGTACCCCTGACCCTGGGGCCTTGAAATTCACAATTCTGGAAGATTAGTACCCTTGCTCATCATAACTTTATAGGTAGTTCATCTGCTTAATACCAAGGAGCAGAGAAGAAAACTTTGAAAGATTCAATGTATTTTCAATATATAATCAATAGAGCCCCACCCTATCACTAGAACCCCTGACCCTAGGGCCATAAAATTCACAATTTTGGAAGAGGTATTCTTGCTCATCATAACTATGTAATTAGTTTATTTCATTCCTAGGAGCAGAGAAAGAGATTTTCAAAGAATTCATGTATTTTCAATACATAATCTATAGAGCCTTGCCCTAACACCAGAACCCCTGACCCTGGGGCCATAAAATTCACAATTTTGGTAGAGGCACTCTTGCTCATCATAACTATGCACATAGTTTATCTAATACCCAGGAGCAGAGAAGAAGATTTTCAAAGAATTCATGTAATTTCACTATTATAATCTAAAGAGCCCCGCCCTTACACCAGAACCCCTAACCCTGGGGCCATAAAATTCACAATTTTGGTAGAGGCACTCTTGCTCATCATAATTATGTACTTAATAGGTTTATTTAATACACCAATAAACGAGAAATATGACGATTTCTTCTATTTTCGCACTCTTGTGTCATAAATAATGACTTTTTTGCACTTAAAAAGGTAAGTATGCACGGACAAACATCTGTATATAAAACTGGAGTAGCAGAGAAGAAGATTTTCAAAGAAATAATGCATTTTCACTATATACTTATTTGGCCCCGCCCTAGCACTAGAACCCATGACCCCGGGGCCATGAATTTCACAATTTTGGTAGAGGACTCAATGCTGATTACAATCAGGCAAACAGTTTGACTGCTTGATTTGCAGGAGTAAAGAAGAAGATTTTTAAAGATTGCACTAATTTTAGTGGTTTTTGCCCCACCCCCCTAGGCCCAGTGGGGCAGGGACCATGAAATTCACAATTTTTGTTCCCCTTTACCATAGATGCTATATGCCAAATTTGGTTGAAATTGGTTCAGTGTTTTCAGAGAAGAAGCTGAAAATGTTCAAATGTTAACGCACGAACGACGGACGACGAACGACGACGGACGAAAAGTGATAGCAATAGGTCACCTGAGTTTACTCAGCGTACGAATGGCCCTCAGGTGAGTATGATTATGACTTTTTTTCATGAATCCACAATAAGCATCATTTGCATGGGTTTAGATAATCAGAATTATCTGCAGTTGTTATTACATCATAATAGCATTAAAAAAATATCACTGTCTAGTTTGTAAGGAATACCTGGACATCAACGATATTTGGAAACGAGAGATAATCGTTGATGCCTTTGGATTTCCAAACAGACTAGACAATGCTTTCTTATAATTATCCATTTCCATAACCCACCCACTGTTTTAAAATTTAAAATTAAACTCTCATGCAAATTAGATGCATTTGATTCGTCGACAAACATTTGTTAAAAAACTATTACCCACTAAATGATGAAACCACACCCCTTCGCATAGGGAAACTCAAAATTGCTGAGAGAACTAGGAGCGATATTCGAAAAAAAGACTGTGCAGAATTTATGTGCGCACGGTTCGTTGTTACATTAACATTGTATAAAACGTTCTGTGTAAATTAATAATATTTAATCAAATTCAATGACTATTTATTTCTGTTAGTTATCATCAACATTTATTTAATGAACAACTAAAGGAATTTTTGTACTATGATAATTGTCAAATGATGAGCTGTGATGAAAGATGTTTCCCAGATATATGTGTAGTTTGAAAGGGACACATGTGCTTTACATTTACTGTATTAACCTTTCAGTAGCATTTTTTTTTAGAAACTAACATTGATTCGGAATTATCAAAATAAAATCAACAAAGCGTTTTTCAATATATCAGCACAACATAACTCTATTTTTTAGAAATACGAATAATACCTTTGCTTATAAAGAGGACTTTATTTTGATTTATCAATGCGTTGCAAGCATAATACACAGCTTTAAGACATTTTATGCTACATTTATATGCATTCATGGAAAAGGTAGTTTAGTACTTTTTTAATATATAAATTTACCTTTTAATGATCTTGTTTCATCACATATGTCAAATATTTCCTCATGCACCTCCAATCCCTCAGTAGATTTTACTTCCTTAATCTCTTCTTCACTACAACCAAGCAGACGTTTAAGTAGCGTGGTTTTCCCCGCTCCAGCACATCCTACAATCATTCCCCGGGCGTGGTGGACTGTCTGTGTTCCTCTCTTAGCGTACTCCACATACCGCTCTCTGGCCTCCTGGTCCCACTTTAGTACTTCTATAGGGACCCCCACTGTATTATAAAAAGTCAACAAGGTAAATTACATAAAAAAATATATCTGACCACAAGTGATACATATTTTCTATTCCATTTCCACCTAAATACTAAAAGATGCACTTTAACTTGTTGATGCATAGACTTTATTTCAAGCTAGGACATCTCTTTTTATCATGTATATGTAAAAAAAGTGCATCAACTCTGATTGTGTATTTGAAAAAAAATGATAATATTCAGTGTGGAAGGATATTTCAGGTAAATATTTCATTCATCGCATGATAAGTACGCTTCCAAATATCAAGAATATTATATTATGTAAATGAATATATTCACGCATATACATTTTTACAAAAAAGTTTAAACAATAAAAAAAAACTACATGCACTTTCGAAAAAATAATGATAAAGTTCTGCATGAATGTACACAAAATAGAGGGATACATCATTGCATATATACAAATAAAAAAATAAAAAAATTTTACTAATACAAGGGTAAAATGTTCTTACAACGTTGACTGATCCTGTTATGAATCCTCCTTTCAGACATGGTACAGTGTGAGATGATGTCCAGCTGTAGTTTGTCTATGAGGAGGTCGTACATCTTCTCTGGTCTATTCGGTACATACAGACATCTCTCTCCCTCACTCCTCTTATACTCCCATGACCTGCAATATTCTGAGATTACGTCACGTGACGCCGTGGTCAGGAAAAACTTCAGATCACTGTCCTCCCGCAAACACTCCGTAACAAAGGCATACATGACGTCATGTCGGATGTCGTCTGATGAAAAAGTTATCACAACATTTTGTGTTTCTGTGATTCTTTCAGGAAGATTTACCAGACCGTCATCATTAATACCAGGGAAATATCTGTCTCTGATTTGATCTTTTGTACTGATGTGTGATTGCTCATTGAGATTCAGCTGGTATTTCTCAGTTAACAGTAAGCAATACAGTAGACACCTGACTTCTGGAGAATAGGTATGGTATTCATCTGAAACGAAAAAATAAATAAAACATCAAACAAGTAGATGAAAATAATTACAAAAAATGAAGAAGAAAATAAGTAAAACGAATGAAAGATTGACATTCATTAAATCTTCGTCGATTTCTTCTTTATACATATCTATTCAACATATGTGTATAAGGGCAGGATCCCCCTTTTCAATTGCTACTTTTGTCAACGATGAGCTACTCCCGATCCGATCAATAAAACTGTGAGTGGATTACATACAGTTTATTATGACATTCTGAAAAAAGATTTTTCAAAAAATCTGAAATAAAAAGCTTTTTAATCAATGCATTCTTAATCATTACCGTCTTCCTTGGAACACTATACAAGGTTTTTTCAAAAGTCTTTGGACTATGCACTTCATCTCTTTCGTGATCAGTATAAGTTACATGGTGAGAAAATGTTTAATGATGTAATTGGTTAAAATGCCTGTCAAGGTCAATGATGATATTTTAGTTGTCATGTAAGTTTTGAACGACTACAATTTTTTCATGATTTTCAAATGTACCTTTAAAAAATGTACTAAACGAACAGAATTTGGCGGTTAATAATTGGAAATGACAAGCAAGGTTTTTTTATATAAATAAAAAAAAAATCTATAATGTTATTACCAACCGAATCGATCTTCATAATCCGCAAGCTTTACAGCATTTATGTATTTACACAATTAGTTTTAAACTGCTGTTCTAAACTCAACAGCAATTGGCACACTAATCGCAATCTTTTGGGGCTTTGCAACCGCTGATCTACATACCACAAAGGCGACAGAATCAGCCGAAGTTTGTCGAATGATCTCGTCAGCAGAATTGAAATTTTAGAAATTTTTGAGAGAGTCAAGGATCTGTTAACCTTATACTTGGTGGAACAAATGAGATAATGCCGATATTGACATATTATTTTTACCTTTATGTGACCTCTGTGAATCCCATTACTAAGAATCGACACTCATTTTGTAACAGAGGTGACAACAAATTTTTATTTACAACCTGTTGCGTCATTCTAAAAGATGTCTTAAATCTGGTGGGCCAAAACGGGGTTTTAACCTATCTTGTACATGTCCTTTCAAGAATTATACGGCCTGATAAGTTGAAGACATTTCACTGTTTAAGGTTGTTGCTACCCCCCTGCGAAATGATATTCATGATTTTAAGAACCTTTATGAGTTGTTCATAATTGTTCATGAATGGTTCTTAAAGGATTCTTAACAGGTTCATAAAGGTAGTTAATGAATAAAATTCATGAAAACATTTATAATTCATAGTTCTTGAACAAATGATGAACAAATATGAATTTGTAATTTTCAGTTTAAAGAAAAAAAACTTAATAGTTCAAGGTAATGAATGTTCGTGAATTTTCATGAAGACTAAAAATGTGAAAATAATTGTCACAAACGATCGCCAGAAAACACTCATTACTCCCATAATACAACCTATGCATGCAGATGCAATTGTTGAACAAGCCGCTGATATAATAAAGAACATGCTTTTGTTTTGATTTTGAAAGTATGGGATCAGAGCCGAGTAGAGGAACATAAGCAGTTAAAATCACTATTTTCTACTCTATGTAATTGATAACTTAGATTCTTCAGGATAATAAAACTCTGTTATGAACTGTCTAGAAGGGAGATTATAATTAAATTATGATCGTAATTGAAAGAACATTGCATCAATATTGACAGCATTTTTTTTTTCATATTGAATTACTAATTTTTCTTCATCATTTAAATTGGCCAGCTATATAAATATTATGCTTTAAGTGGGGACATATGTCCGAAAAGTCTTTGTGTGAAATTTTCAAAACTTTGATATTTCTTTCCTGACCACTTGCTCTTAAATTTAAGGTATTAAAAGCAATACCTTTACATGCTTATTTTTACACAGGAGCACATGCAAAAACAGTGTGAAATGCTAAAAATAGATTATTTTCAGACATTATTGTTTTACCCCAAATAAGCGCTAAAATGAACCAAAAATAATGTGAAAACATATTCAAAATCAAAAGGTATTTAATTTATTAGACTTGTTTCTTTACAATTTAGGCAAATCCATTGCAATTCATCTCGCATGAAAAATTATAATTAAGCATAATTTAAGTATCACCCCGTTTTTTTGTTTTGTTTTCGTCGTAATTTTTACAATTCCGACATGCATAACAGGTAAAGTCTTAAAAAGTCTTTGTGTGAAAATATTGTAATTCAAATTTTTCGAAAGAAATGATTCATCTCTTTATTTTAACAAAGAAAAAAGTATACCTTTATGATAAAATAAATGAGAAATATGACGATTTCTTCTATTTTCGCACTCTTGTGTCATAAATAATGACCTTTTTGCACTTAAAAAGGTAAGTATGCACGGACAAACATCTGTATATAAAACTGGTTTGCGAAAAACGAGTATCTTGTTTTGAATAAAAACAATTAAAATATATTATTTCTTTTTTGCTTCATTCCAATCACTCTATGTGTCTCCCCCTCCCCCACCCCCACAACACCGTCAACAAGTAATACCTATTAGAACCTAGGAATGACTTTATACAATACCATCTACATGTACTTTAAATCAAGAAGCAAAATTTAATATTGGTACAAGTAAATTTTTTTATTTTTTTAGTTTTATTTATAAAATAGTAATGTTTTCATTGAACATGTCCATGTATGCATTATGAATGCAGGTTGAATTGTGTATTAATTGTTTAAACAGTCATGAAATAGGGTTATGTAAAGAATCACTTAACCAATTGCAAATGTTTTCATGTAATTACTACTTTGGCCTAACAATTTGCCATCTGATATTGTAAATAAGGGTGAACATTGGGTGAACCTAACCAACCAGTTGTTAAGGTTGGCTGTTAGTTGGCATGCACTTAAAACTACGTTGGCCCAACAATATGCCATGTGACATTTAAACATAGGACCAACGTTGGGCCAACCAAATCAAACAGTTGTTAAGGTTGGCTGTTAGTTGGCATACACTAATAACTACGTTGGCCCAACAATATGCCATCTGACATTTCAACATATGGCCAACGTTGGGCCAACAAAACCAACCAGTTTTTAAGATTGGCTGTGAGTTGTCATACAATTATACATACGTTGGTCCAACAATATGCCAAAATGTTGGACCAACGTTGGGCCGATGAGCAAAATTACCGTGGGCCAACGTAAGGTTACCAACAGTGGGCCAACTTTGGAAAATAAAAATTGTCAAACTTTTAATAAGTTGTAAGAAAATGAAACGGACTTACAGTCCAGGAAAAATTTCATAATCTTCGTAAAAACGTATCATAAATTTATTGACAACTAGAAAATTATATCTCTTGTCCGAACTGTACCATTCTTGGGTCGAAAAGCTTTATATTTTGATGAAGTTATAAAGTCACATTTTTCTGTCCATCGTGTGTAAATGATACAGCACAGGCTGCATGGCTGTGAAGAAGATATGACATGAACCACATTCGTATTTTGTAGTCTATTCTCCTATACAGTACACATTCATAGCTCAGGGTACTCAGTTTGAGGGCGAGTGGTTCCAAGAGATATTTGTTGTCCTCTGATATGGAGGCGGCAAAACTTGAATACGAAACTATGGCTCTACATGTATAATGTAAAAAAAAATCCAATTCAATAAATGATATAACTTATATTAATTAAAAAAAAATACAATTTCAATTAAAAAAAATCAGATTGTGTTTATTATTTTTTGTTTAACGAAAATCTTGGCAATTCGAAACTAATTCTTAATTAGCTCTGCATGACACATTTTTAAAAGGCGCAAACTTTGAAACGCGCGAGACGTTGGAAAGTGGATAGGTAGAGTGGGAGGATTATTAGCGTAGTCATTCTTTGTCAACCTTTGAAGAAAATAACAGAATACGAAGAAGGAATATCCAGAGGATCAATTTATTTCATAACTGTAGATATTAGTGGTGAGTTACAAGAAATGGAGGCAATCGCTGAATCCGTGAGATATTTGTCAAGATGTTACTGTCTATTTGTAAGAGTTCAGTTATGTCCTTTTTAATGAAAACTTTGTCAAACTTTGTTATGAGTAAGGATCCAACCAAATTACGTTACATTTAATAATTAAAGATTAAAACATTCATCCTGTTCACCTATAACATCTTGAACATGGCGGGCAAGGGAAACAGGCTAAACTCCCGCTCGGAATGCTTTAAAATATGGCAGTGCCTATGATGCAGAATTAAATGAAACAAATATGCAAAATAAAAAGAAAACAACAATAAAGTCTTAAGTTTTCACATTTATGAGCATTTTCTTTGTTCTTTTAGAGAAAAGAGATGCAGTTCACAGATAATGTTGACGAGTTGAGATCAGAAGATTAAAAAGCTCTGGCTGCCAAAAAAAAAAGAATAAAAAAAAATCTAGTCTTTTGAAGAAAAACAAAAGAAAGGAATGAAAATATGAATTGTAATCGATCAAAGGATCCAAGTGATGAAATTCTGATAATTCCACAGGGAATGCCAATGAGATTTTTTTTTTTATTTAAACACCTCTGCTCAAAATCCTTGAAAGCACTTTAGTTGATGCCCTAATTGCTGAACATACTTTTCTGCCAGACAGTGAGACTTGGATTAAAAATAATTCCATTTTAGGCATACACTTTGAAATACCCTGAATAAGGAACCCACTCTCCTGTTGACCAAGTAAGGTTAAGGATTCTGCAAAGAGTCGCGTTTGAATTGAAATTTTTCATAATTTTACTAGGAATGAACTACATAATTTCGTTATCA